GCCAATTCGGCAATTTCCTTATAAGAATACATGATGCGACCAAAAGCGTCCGATGAACTTAACAGCAATCTACGGTTGGTGATGAACCCTTAATTTAAAGTAAATAAATAAATACATTGATTTTATCGTACTGAAGAGAATCTAAACACTAGTACAAAAATTTTACCTTGAGCTCGAGTACCAAGATCACTAGTTTGAATTCCTGGTACTTTGAAGAAGACTGGAACAGAACAAAGCAGTAAACCCATGGCACCCCAAAAATATTTAATAATGAAATCTTCCATTATTCCATGGATGATACGTTTTCGGAAGATTCGGTTGATATGTTTAATTAATGCAAAGTAACCGCGATCTAATATGGTCTTTTCAACTTCGTGACCGGCGTAGAATGCAATTTCCTCAGCATTTTCAATCACCCGAGAATGGGTGAATCTGAATTCACCCTGAAAAAATATATTTCACGTCAGGTTACAACAATAAATTATAACATGTTCGATAAAAAACAAGATGATTACCTCCAATTTCTGTTCCTCCGCAACCATTTTTCCAAATGGTGGTGTCAACGCTCTCAGAACCACGGAAGATATATGAACCATTATAGATACGGCGTACAAACCTTCGCCACCAACATTCCTTGCCAATTGTAAATTGTAAATAAAAACGTCTAAAATTGGTTTTGCAAGATTTGAGTAAAGCCCGGAGAGAGAATTACAGAATTTCATTGTATCTACAGTAATACATCTGTATTTAAATTGTAAAAATTCATTAGATATTCGATTGATAATAAATTTCTGGAAAATGATGTTCGCTTAAAATAACACATACTGATCAGCATTTTTAATTCTGTCATCGAGATTTCCAACAGAATAGAAAGTCATATCTGTTAAATATTTTTCATGTATATAATTGGTGAGACGAGTTCTGAATTGTATGGCTAATTTATCTTGCATAAAAGTAAGCTTAAGTGTAATTAAAAAAAATATTATTAATTCGAGTGTACTATAGATGTAGTCATCGAAATTAAATGAAATTCTTACCATGCTATTAGTATAAGTAGCGGGAATTGCCACTGTCATCCACCACACCATTCCGGTTAAAAAATCCTTTGCATTTCCTCGTACCTACATTAAAGTATTGTCAATTATTTGGCTGGCATGCTTCCTGAGAGATATAAGATGTGAATGAGACTTACCAATGCACTAACAATTCGACCGTCTAAAGCGGCTACATATACTGATAAAATTGTCCGGAACACTAGAGATAACACGTAAAATAGATAAATAGATTTGTTCAATATATCATACTAAATAAATAACACACCTAGAAAGTTAGAATGGACAAATAGAAGCCAAAATTCTTTCGACTTTATTCCAGGAATAACAATTTTAAGCAATTTTTTTAGTCTTTCAAAGAAAACATGATCAACCTAAGTTTCGATGAAATAAAAAGTTAATCGAAAACATGTTTCAGTGGTCACTGATTTTCTTAAAGGAAAAACTGCAAATTACATACCGCGACTCTTTTGCTCTTTGACTTTGCTTCTGTAGCAACCACATCATGTTTTTGAGATTTTGAACCATGAGTCTTGCTGAGGTAAAGGTAATAAACTGTTATAAACCAAATAGATCTTCCTAATAATGTTCTATTATTGCTATATATTTTCCATATTTGCTCTACGATCTTTCGAATTTGTGCGGTGCTAGAAGAGGTAGTCACACCAGAGGGAAGCGTCACAAAACTCGTCAACTTGGATAAAACTGTGGGCATTGTCTCTCGAAAGAGAT